AAGTTGCAGAAGAATTTTCCTGATAGTTTTAGGTCTGTGGCCGGATCCTCGGGCCAGGGAGTAGAGCTCCCCGATAGAACGAATGTTTTGTCCTTGTCAACGTTATAGAAAAGTGAACAAGAATGATAAAGACGAAAAATTTGTTCTCTCGGGGAGCTCTACTCCCTGGCCCGAGGATCGGCCACCTGAACACAACGCTGTCGATGTAAGAACCAATGTGTGGCAGTACCTGTGGCGCTCTGCCATGGTCCACCATCGTGGAATTGGATGCAAGTTGTTTGGCAGAGATCTGCTTTTTCCTTTGACGAAACTACAATGGAATTATTATCCTTAACTGAAGGTGGAAAGGAAGATGTGAAATTTATTACTATGGTCTTGGCAAAAGACCAAAAGGGTCTTGATCTACGGCAAATCGAGCAATTCAAAAGTCTATTACGCACTTTTTGGTTGTGTAACTCCTCAGCCTTGTTAGTTATTTTCACTTCTGGATCCGTAAAGGAGAATCGAGTTTGTTCGCATTGGTTTTATACGCAAGGCACGATATGCGGTGTTTTTTTTGGCAAACGCTAGGATACACTGCTAGTTAAACCAGGGTTTTCCGGCACGGGATGTTGTATCGGATTGTGGAATGTACAATTCCATAGGTAGGTAAGGAAATAATTTCAGTAACTTTCAAGTAATTTTAAGCCTTTCCACTCTGCAGCTCCATAATGCCACACCCTACGAAATATTGGAGCAGGGGCTGAGTTTAATAAACGAACCTAGAGTGGAAATCAAATTGTGGTCTAATTTGCCAAAGGTGCACACACCACGATCTTGCATAAGGATCGGGATTAGTGGTAAGGAACAAATCGAGTGAATTGGTCTGTTGAGAGTCGGAATTGGAAACACGTGTGGGCTCTTCTTACCAACTGGGCTAGGCAGTGATGTGAAATGGCAAATGCTTCAACAATCCTTCCAGCATTGGGTTACCTACGAGTCTAAAACGACATGAGGAAGCTAGGGGAGAAAAGGGTGAAGGGAGGGATATGACTCTTGAAGGTGGCCTAAAGAAGAAATCTGACTTATAGGGCAGCTCCGACTAGTCCACAAATTCCGGTGAGTGGGGTGGGTCTAAATAGAGGCGCCACCTGTTTTTCAACCCTGCAGTAAGTCGGTTTCTGAACGAAAGAAATTTCAAAACAGGAAACATCCTAGAGCATACAAAGAATCAAGGTATAAAGGCGATCATCTTTAACTGAAATCCCCTAGGATTGGAGAACTCGTGATCGCGCCGCAGACTGAAAAGAACGGAAAGGAAATTCTTAATGTCAAAAATCAGCTGTAAAGGGAAAATAAAAGAAAATTACTGAATATTAAATTGTAGGTATGGTTTTGTTTATCTTGCTTGATTCGCTCCGTTCAGGATTTAAGAATAATGTTTATCAGTTCAACAAAAAAAAATGTATTTTGGCATTATCCCCCAATATGTTCAGTATTAAAAATAACCTTAGATTTAAAATAAATTCAATACACAATCAAAAACGTTGCTTACCCTCGAAATAGGCCTATTTTCTCGATTTACAGTACCTTTCCTATTTTAGGCTAGGCCTAAAACTTATAATAAGAATATACAAGGATGAATAATAAGGTAATACCTCCTTTAATTAAAAACAAAACACCAAAGTTCCTAATGGTAATTCAGGCCTCTATCTGGCTCTGGCTATACATTGTTCTGATTGTTAAACCCTTGGTATGCTGAAGGATACGTATGATGGTAATAATTACGGGGTGAGTATTTCTTTTGGCCACAGAGCTTCACTACCGATCAGCTGGAGTGTAACCATATGATTTCAGGACCCAGGACAACACACACATTTGACCCAACTGACTTCCTTGATTATTTGCTGTTTGCAAGTCTTACAGCGACCCAGGAATTTACCTGACGTGGAGTGAGGATCGAGGGTCGTTCCAAAATCTTCTTGGTCGTTAGGGATGTTCTAGCAACTAGGGAGCGGTAAGGCCGACTGGAGTGGTTTAGTAGGTACCTCTGGAGTACTGATGGGCAACCGGCACTCGTGGGGTATCAGAAGAGAAACAAGGCCTCCAATAAGGAGAAGAATGAAAGTGAAAAAGGTCTAAAAAAAAAAGAACTAGATTTTCGCACATGGTAAGCAAACAGCAAATATAGTAAAGAACTTCGACCATTGAACACTCTCTCTCTCTAGACTAATAACGATAATAATGTGCTATAGAATTTGTTTGGTTCCAGAATGAGACCAGGCCCTCTTTCTCGCACTTATGAAAATAGAATGTTTATAAACCAGTCTGTTTATGTTTTGGGTATCAGAGAGCTGCGTTCGAAAACCTGGTTGTTGGTGTGGAAATTATTTCAGGGAGTGCATCTTCAAAATGTGAGCTCAAATTTCACTCTAGTGTATTCGCTGCGCACATCAATACCTGTCAAACACCCTTCCGAACGCCGAAAACCATATGATTTTAATCCACACTTCGCCTTTCCGAACGGCAGCTGTGTGATTTTTATACGACACACCAGGTTCTCGAACGCAGTCAGCTGATTTCACACAAGAAAGTTGAGAACACCATGAGAACACAAAACAATTACTACGTTATTGCCAGACTGTAAAATCTTTCTTTAGAAGTAGGTACGTAGTTCCATTTAAAACCAAATTGAGTCGTGATAAAAAGTATTGTTGTTTTAGAATTATTTTAAGTATAGACTTAAAAAGTCGCAAGTATATTTTTAATATTATTATAAGCAGACAAATTTGAAATAGATACTTTTCGATAGATGACGATATTCATTATTATCGAGATTATTATTCGAACAGGAAAAAATTCGGCAACAGAGCCTTTTTTCGTTTTGTTTATCGGATGAATCACCCCTCTGACCCCGCTACCTCATTATGGAACAAAACAAATATGCTTGTTGATCCCTCTAGCAGTTTAAAGCTCGATGGTAAAGAAGTAAGACACCGACATTTCCGCGCACTTGCCGCTTCTCGAGCGTGATAGGACATTTCCTTGCGGGTGCGCATATCCGTAAAAAAAAAAAAAAGTATTCTAAAAGAACTTTAACGTTCTAGAACTTCTCCAAAAGAAAAATAGCAGAAAATGGAAACTTACCAAAATACTTTGGCCTTTTCTAGACACAACACACAAAGAAAAATGGCCAAATTTGAGACTTTAACCCTTTAAAACTCGCACAACCAAGTCTTCCTATAGTGGCACTGTGGTGCTATAATCTCAGCAACCCACAAATGGGAGTTAGGGGCTCAAGCTTACTTTCGGTTTTAAATCAGCAAAAACGCTTAGAGGAAGCTGTCAACGTGCTCTTGAAAGCTGCCCTCTTTTTCTACCAAAAAAAAAAAAAACGATCTTTAATTCATTCCCTCCCAGAAAACGTGGGCGTACCAATTCAAACCTTGAGGAATTTTTACAAAATCTATTGGGGGACACTGGTACTGTTACTGACTGAATGCCTAGTACCCACCAAATAGCGGAAACTGGAAACTGTAATGGTACAATGGAAGGTAGTACGGAAATCTCTAATAGAACCATCGGTACTATAAAGCGAGTGTAGAAATCTGTGATAATACATACTATGAAATGTTCAACTAAATAACCACAATTATTGGTAGATGGTACTGGAAAATAGAGAAATGAAAACTGTATAGGTGAAACGAAAATTTAATAATAAATTTTTACTTGAAGGGGAAAAATAATCCCGTAACAATTGCTTATTTTGTTAGAGAACTTAAGCCACTCTGAGTTATGAACATTTAAATTTCCCAAGAATATAATCTCTGAGTTCGCATGAGTCCCCATGAAATAAATCTGCCAGATTCTCAAATAGAAGTTCATAACTGGAGTCGTTGGATGAAAGATACACATAGCAAACAAACTTAAACATGTTCGTAGACGTAATTATATCGTGATCAGGTGATTCGAGATCATCCTCTCTGTGGAAGGAGAGCTCATTGCGAGAAAAGACGCAAAGTCCCCCCGAGCATATGCAGTTCATAGCCGGGACATAGAAGATGCATTAGGCTGAGACAAGATTTTACTTGCGTCTCCGATAAGATCAGTATATGTGGATTATTGTGCGCAAGATGTTGGTGCACTAAGTTCAAGTTGGCGTTAATACCTCTGATGTTAGATAATTCAATTTTTAAAGTTGATGTAGGCTCCCCTCGTACACCATCCTCCCGGAAATCCGAATGGTAGTGTATTATATAACTCCGGAATTCTTTGCACGAATGATATCCATCATTTTTATTATGTTTTCCATGATTTGCTGGATTTCTTCATCTTTTGACTGATACATTCCAATCTCTAAATTGTTTATTGGCCAAAATTCAACTGATTCTGTGATTATATCAAATAGCTTTGCCTAATGGTCTCTAGAGGATTTCTGGACAAGTAGTCTTTTACCAGGGCTGCTGCGATCTTTTATGTGTTGAATTGTGTAACTGAAGATTGAAAGATAAACTGCCCACCCCACATTTGCAATCTATTTAGCAGACATTTTGGAGATACCCACGGTATTCCCAGAATAAGGCTATTAGAGCTCGGCAGTCAGTTCTAATGGTGAATTTGCTGTAACAAAGATAATACAAAAATATGTAAAGTATACTGTCAAAAATGACTATTCTGTAATTTATTTATGAAAAGTCACCTTATTATGGATTCATTGGCAAAAGTGGTTTATCACTAACGCTAAAATGAGCAGCAGGGTGTTCTGATACAGTGTTAAAATGAGATTTCATTTTATAACGAGCATTCAAATGAATTACAAAAAATCCTGTGTGTAGCATGGCTGGTTCTTTGCACACATGTCTGGACGTTCACGTTTGGTGCAAAGAACGCGCTGATTTTTCCACCAATAAATGGCTAATTCTCAACATATAAACACTTTAAGTTTACGTAAAAGTAAAAAAAAAACACTTTCAATTTTATCTCATTTTTTCAAGTGGAAGAAAAACAAACCTATAAAGATTGGGATATTTTCATAGTTTATTTGCTTTGACGACATCAAAGAATACAAAATGAAAATTCTAGTTACAATTATTGCAACCCTTGTGTTTTTGGGTAAGTATAATAAACAAAAATATTTGGGTACCTACTCCAAGTCCTATTCATAATACAAAATTGTTCTTTATTAACTATCTAAACATACAATTTAAAGACAAATAACAAAATGACATCTGAATATTTTCTAGACTTTGCCAAAACTCAAAATTCTCCTGAAATCGTACCAATACCTGGCGGTTTATCTGGAACGGCTCACACTACACGCTACTGGGATTGTTGCGTTCCAGCCTGTAGCTACCCAGCTAACGCTTCCGTAGTTACTCATGGAGTAGAATATTGTCTCGCCGATGGTGAAACTCGTGTTGCTGATGGAGATTATTCCAGTAAGTTGAAGTCAGATAGGAATCTTAAGGATAATAAAAATAAACCTTAGGTACATGCAGCTATCACTGATTTAGGTACTTATATACATTATTCGATTATTCATTTATAGAACAACCCGAATGCCAACACCCTGGCGGAGGTGCATTTACTTGCAACGGAAATCAACCTTGGATTGTCAATGACACTTTGGCCTATGGATTTACAGCTGCTTCGTTTAAAGGTAATCCCATAAAAAACCTACATTTGAAAGTTCCTATTAAATTCAAGTCATTGATAATCGCTTAGTATTCTTTTATAGGCGGTGTTGAAACAAATGACTGTTGCAAATGTTTGCTAATCCAATTCCAAGGAGCGTTGGAAGGAAAATCACTTTTAGCTCAGGTTACCAACACTGGCTCAGATTTAACCCAAAACCACTTCGATATTCAAATTCCCGGAGGTGGTGTTGGTATTTTTACTTTAGGTTGTATGGGACAATGGGGCACTCCAGAGGATGGCTGGGGTGAAAGGTAGGTATTTGTTGCTATCTTATATATAATTACATAATAATAATATTTTAGGTATGGAGGTATAACTTCTGAAGAAGAATGTAGCGAATTGCCGCCAGTACTTCAAGAAGGTTGCAGATTTAGATGGACATTTTTGGAAGGAGTTTCTAATCCGAATGCAACTTTTTACCAAGTTAGATGTCCCTCTGATTTAGTTGCTATCACTGGATGTAGTAATACTAGTGATCTTTGAATAAATGAGTTTTTGTTATGATAATACCTAATACCAACATTGGATTTGCTTTATTTAGAAATTTTTGACAATGAATAAATTAAAAATCTAAAGTTCAACTAAATCACAAAATTAGCCTGAGGAAAACCACCTATTTGAAGTATTATTTCTTCAAATCTTAAATTTTTTGAAAACGTTTAGTCAAGAAAAGCAAAAAGTAAATGTTGCAACCTTGTATGCGCTGGCAAGTAGGGGCGAGCGTAGACGCGCCACACAAAAAGGTACCGAAGGGTAGAGAAGAGAATAAAAGACTAGAGAAGAAACTTGTGCCTTGGACCGTTTGTTCGCCATTGTTCATTTTTCAATTTTTATTTTGTTTTTAACTGATTGTTTAATCCAATTTGTGATTAGTTTGTGTGTCATAAGGAGCCTTCACAGGTCAGTTGAATAATTATGGTTATTTTGTTTTTGAGAGTTCCATTTATACAAGTATTTTTTTTCGTTTTTATATATTTTTTTTTGTTGGCTCTTAACATTTTTTATAACATGTGCATTATTCATGTATTAAGCAAAAATCGTTTCATGCTGTAAACAATGCAGATTAAAAAGTAAATTAAAACCTAGAAAAAATATGTACTGTATTTTGTATTGGGATTTTAATTTTTGGTATTTAGAACGTGCATTAGGGCCCTGTTGAATCTACTAATATTCTTCTACCCTGACCAGCGAATATCCTAGCAAACAAATTGAAGAATCAATTTAGAGATATTGGCTCAAAATAACAACTATACCTGAGTAATCTCACGTAACCAGGGACCTCAGTACCTGCTGGTGGATGGGCTAATTCACCAAAAACTCTTCAGTATTAAATATAGGTAGTGTTGATTGAATGTAGCGCGTGGAATTAAAATTTTAGCACAAGAGAGGCGGTACCTAATTTAAACTTTTATCATTGACCTAAATTATTGACTATTGAATTATTGACTCACAATTAATTATCAAAATGACACAGTATATTTCGATTTTTGAGGAATGTTTGATCGAGGGTTTCTCTGCCGTGCCGTCCCCTCGTTAGTTCCAGGTCGAGAACGGTACGATTTACTTTAATAATAAAGTAGACGTTTCACAAATTTTTCGTTTATTTTACATATCACAACTACCCTTAAATTTCCCAAATATTTGCTATGCCGGGCGCATTTCAAGTAAAAAAAAAAAAATGAGTAAGTTTCCACAACGTAGGTTCTATTTGTTTTTCATTTCGTTTTTCAGAAGATTTGTTAAAAGATTTGGAAATAAAAATTCTAACCGTTCAATCTTGTTGAGCGAACTCGGGTATGTTATTCTACAAGCCTTTGTCCAATGCTTTTAATTTGCGTTATTTGGGTCTACGATAAAAGCGTTGATCCCCTTACATCGCTCATTTCGATTTCAATAACACAATCCCCTGTTTATTGTATGTGGGTTTGCATTAGAAGAGCTTTTTTGGAAAGGAATGCAACAATGTAATCCACACTTGCAAATAATAGTATACGAAACAAAACCAACACTAACCATAGTTTCAACTATATTACGGGACTAGAATCAAACATCACAACATGTTCCTTATCGTTTTAAGATTTAAGTATTTAGATTTCACTTACTCATTTATTATAATAATTTCCTTAAATTTAAATTGAATCTATATTATATAGAGATATTACTCTCCATTCACCATTTGCAATATGCCACAAAATAATGGTTGAGAACATTATTTTCTTAGTGAGAGTAGGTTGGTAGAGTAGGTAATACTGCATAGGTTTAATAAAGATTTTTGAAAAGTTATAGCACAAAATCAGTATTTTATGGCAGCCAGTAATACTTTTTAGAGGTACAAGTTTATTATAAAATATATACTTACACGTCTTAAAATGCAAAGATTATACATTACCATTTATGGAGCAATTTCAAAGAATTTCGCATCAAAAACATTATATTTAATTTATTATATTTATATTATGGAAAAACTATTCATACAATTTTTCAAAATGTTCCTTCTTTGTCGGTCTATTAATTAATTCCGTTTATGAGGCCGGAATTTAATACAATATTTTTCCAAATAAGTTCCCTAGTCAGTTTTTATACATATCACACAAAACTTTTTCCATTGGGGTATTGCCGATAGTTTTTTGAAAAAATACAGCTTCGATTCTAGGCGCTGGTACTATCCTTAGGAGAGGTAACATAAGAAGTAGCCGGCCAAATCTAGCTACTTGACCAGGAAGCTGAGTTCTGCAGTGCTGCCACAGCATCACTTGGGCTTGATCTTGAAGATTTTCTATTTGACTCGGATCTTTAAGTCCTTTCGTTTCTAAAATAATAATAATTTTATGTATAGATTTTATATTAATTTCGAGACATTAAATATAACAAATTATTGTGAACAAAAGCGGTCCTTTTTTCTTACGGTGTGGGATGTGTGGACCTCCGTTCAAATTTTACTTGTCAAACGTTGTGGAAACATTCATTTTTGTCCCACTAGAGTTGCGTTTACTACTTTGTTTTTGGATGAATAAAGTATCCGTGAGAGAAAACCGCTTTTGAGTTTTTGATGTCTCAGTATTAGTAATTTAACCTATGACTTACCAGCACGAAATAATACAACTGCTTTCAGACAAGCAAACTCTGCTGGATCCACATGCACTGACTTGAACCTAAGTAGCGTGTCTGTCAAAATTCGAACATCTGTTGTTGAGTTGCCATTTTTGCTGTGCTCGTTCATATTGAAAAGTGGACTGGCTGAAACATCCAGAGGCATGCACCATTGTATTGCATTTAAAAGGAATAGTTCACTCCAGGCTTCCTCTAACAGTATCACCTGAAACATTCGAAGATAAAATAAATATCAAATTAAAAAATTATTTAACACTTGATTCCTTACCTGATCTCGGAAAGGTAAACTTGCGAAACTAGGTAAGTTTTTGGCCCATTTTACTGCCATGAATAGTAGTCGTGCTGACGTTTCATAAATGGTTTCATGGCTTGGTGGGTAAAGACTGGTGGCCAAAGACGCAGGTTGCGGTTCAGGTCTCAGGGGTCCACTACTCGATGATACTCCGCAACCAGACGACGGTGTGTCATCTTCTTCGTTTGTTACATCTATGCTTTCTTCTGTAATTGAGGATTATAATTAATTTATATTGAAGTAACAAGAAGGACAATAAGGACGGCACTAACGTGGGGGATGTACGACGAAACCGAAAGCCAAGAATAAAATATATAGTATGCACTGTAAGTCCCTTATGTTAAATGCCATAAACATGTAAGAGGAATTCGGAAACAATAGTGTGCATAATAAAGCTGGTCACATAGAGAAGTATCAAGTATCTTTTTCCAATCAGCCGCTTAGACTAACTAGAAGAACACTTCTTCCATCTATTGGAGAGAGGTTTAACTGAATGGTGTCGCCCTCTATCACAGAAATACATAAACCTGGCCGTGGTTGCTAAAGTCACTGTCGAGAAATTAAGTAAGGCATCATTGCTAAATGTCGCCTAAAAGCAAGATAGGACAGATAAGACCCTGGAAACGACGAATAATACAAATGAGAACAGGAATTCATAACATCAAATAACTCAAGATCCCAGCAAAAAATTGATGAAATGATGCGATGCAATTTATGTTTTATATCTAATTATTGAAAATAATAAAATGACAAAAGCTTAAGTTAGCTTAATATTTCTTTCGTAATTTCCTCAGGTTTTTGTTACAGTTGCTTTTCTAAACATATATCAGCTCGAGTAGGTATCAGCTAAACGATCCTCGCATTAAACTTTTTGTTTCAAAATTATGCACAAATTAATCCTTTGTCGGAAAACGGATCGAGAGTTTTAATCTGTAAGGATTTTCCTATGCTGATGCAGAGTTACTAATTACTGTTCGGGAAGGGAGTGGAATTTGAGCTACGGAGCAGTATCTATACTTTAAAGAAGGTTATTTAACGTATTTTTTATTAAATATTGTGTATGGAAGAGGAAAAGTGAGACATTCTTGGCCAACAAGCCTAAGTCAAGAGTATTTTTTTTATGAGTGATGGGTGATGAGTAATTAATTTCGCATTTGGTAACCTACATAGGCCAGTCATTTTGCGTGAACAAAATGATAAACATCAAATAAAGTGATAACATATCAAAAATCAAGAAAAATCCAAGTAGGTGTGGAAAAACTGTGATATTGGCCGCCATCTTGGAGAAAAGCATTTCGATATGTTTGTTGATCATTAGCAGAAATAATTTCTCACTTATTAGTTTCAGGTGATGATTTTTCTGAGGTGATGTAATTATTTAGAATGAGAATGTAGGTGACTATAGGTATTTATGAAATGTGACAAAACTTAACTGGTGAAGAAACAGTACATTGCGACACTAAGGACGGGTTTATCAGTAGACGGTTTTTTAGTTTAGTTGTCGGTTAACTAATAATTATTAATAGATAAATGACAGTTAAACTAAATAACCGTCCACTGATAAAACCGGTCCTAAGTGAGATAATAAGACAAAGCAAGTGAAGCAAGATGTGATATACGAACTCAAGCATGGTATCCCTAATCCAATATTGAAGTATTTGTAAGGACAAAACCAGCTGCTAGTACAGGTAATATATTTGAGATTCGATCACAAGAGGAAAAAATTCAATTTATCACGACCAAAGTAACGTTATGTTTGAAGATAGAGAAGAAGCAAATGAAAAGCTCCAACAGATAGAGCGATTGCTGTTAAACGAAAGAGTGAAAAGTTTTCTTGCTGTAATAATAGATATCACTAAAATAATGATGGAGATCAAACAATGACATGTGAATTGGTGAAAAGAATGGTTCAGAATGTCATGCATATTCTGAACCGTATATGGAACAGGAAGTTTAGAATTATTGGTCTATAACTCTGGTCATTCACTAATTTCCTACAAAACTCTAGTGAACAATCACCCAGCTACACCCTAAATGAAAAATCAGCTCCCATGGGCCCACAAGCGGATGAACTCTTTTTTACCGAGTAATTCGGCTTTCTACAGATTACTCTTTGGATATGCCAGATCAGCCCTCTTCAGTTCTCCACAACCTTTTCTTTGAAGCCTCACTATTGTAATTTCAGATATCTACACTGAACTAAAAAGTATCAACGCAGGCCTGGACCTGATAAGGTTCAGCCACTATTTCTGAAAAACTGCTGTTTCGTTCTATCTCGACCTCCGCGAATAATTTCCAATAAACTAATACAGGACGGTATATTTCCAGACTTCTGGAAATCAAGTTGGATCCAGTCACAAATCAGGAGATTCAGAAAATGTGACTAATTATCACCCTATAAGTATCCTCAATGCTATTCCAAAAATATTTGATAATATAGTCATAAAACTCCTAACATCTTGCCTTGGACCTGAAATTACAGCAGTAGTTTGGCTTCAAAAAACACTCTTTTACCGAACTAAATTTCCTCACGTATGTGGACATCCTGACAAGCGCCTTGGAGAGAGGTGAAGAGGTACACTCTATTTATACCGACTTCTCCAATGCGTCTGACAGAGTGAACCACGGAGCTTTAATTGAAAAACTAAAGACCTTGGGCTTTTCAGTTTCTCTCCTACAATGGATAAGGAGCTATGTCACAAGTAGGACTCGGATGGTACACCTTAACAACTTTACTACTTCTCAAATCAATCGTCGTGGCCCCCGTCTATTCAACATCTTCATCAATGATATTTCATCTTGCTTTGAGCATAGTCTTTTCCTTCTGTTTGATGATGACTTGAACCTGTTTTTAAAAATAGCCTCTCCAGAAGACCTTTTACGCTTCAAGAAGATCTAGAAAGATTGTCATAATGGTGTCATGCCGATGGCAGATACATGCCATCGGCACCATGCTTGGCTTCGTGAAACGCAGCAGAAGTGGCTTCTCGATCGTAAATGCCATTAGAACTGCTGCTTCTGTATGGTATCCTAATTATGCGTGCCATATCCATCGAATTGAAACTGTTTAGAGAAAATTCTGCAGATACATTAACTACACATTTTACGACATTTCACAATTTCATTATTCTGACTTATGCACATCATCACTCCTGTAGAAAAAAGCAGAGAGACCTAATACTAATTCAAAAATTCATGAACTCTAGATTGGCCTTATTTACCTTCCAGATTTGGATTACATGTTCCATCCTGGAACATTCGTATTACTCATATTTTTCACCAACAGTTTCACAGAACTAATTATGCTTATCACTCATTCACTTCTCGTACCCTTAGACTGTGCAATTAATTATCTGAATTAAAAAATTGCGAACCATTTGTGTGAATTGTCAAAGGCCTGACTCAATTTAAATCAAAATTATTGTTGTTTTTTCTTTTTTTTTTCTCTCTCTCCTTTCTGTAAATGGCTGATATTGACATTATTTTAAGTATTAATATTATGCTTTATTTTTTAGTGTAGGTAGATAACTTCTTTTCCATTCCACTGTTTTGCTTTATTATTTTCAGAAGTTCATAGTTTTAGAACTTATTATTGCACTTTTATGTTATGTAAATTGCTTGACCCGTCAATAAACAAATAAATAATGTCATAGTTAGAAATATAAAAGGACAAATAAATGTTAAAACATGTCGAGCAAGTCATGCTACCCATACTACAATACTCCAAAAGGCGAAAATGTATTGAGGCTGGAAAATTAAGAATATGTAATTCAAAACCCCGCAAAATTAATGAGAAATGATGTGAAATTGTTTCAAACCACTTATGATTATTATCCACTGGCTGTACTGAAAAATGATAATAGAAATCTGCTTCCAACTCAAACGTTTTAGACAAGCAATAAAAACACGAATCTTTGTAGCACGTTTTCAATTGGAATTGGCAGTGCAAATGCAGCATTATTTTGGTTGAAAATATTTGTGAATTTTTCGCACCTGCGTGGTTTTTGCTCCACCTATTGCTAAGTTTAGAAGTATGAAAACAACAAATAGGTACATTATTTGTTAACTGAATTCTAGTAAGGTTATGTTTAATAATTTAATTCCATTCATTTAATATTATTCAATAAATCAATATATATTATTCTATTAGTTATGCATTCAGGTACATTGTTATATTGACAGATACTTCTATTAATTGGCAAGTCTTGTGCTTCTTTTGTTCTTGCATATTCACATCTGAAGTCCATTTTTTTCTTACTTTATAATTATGATAGTCTTTGGGTTGTTTCAATTCGGTATTGATTTTAATGTTTTTATTTTTGACATTATGTATCAATTTTCTTGTTCCAGTGTTTTCAGTCTAGCTATGTTCAATATTCTGGTTTGTTTATAAACATCTTCTGTTGCAGTATAATAATCAATTCCATAGATGGTCTTTATAGCCTTATTTTGCACTCTCTGTAGTTTTTTTGGTAGGTATTGCGCGGAATTTGACCAGCATGGTATCAGGTATCTTAATTGTGATTCAATAAAGCTATTATATAGGGTATATATTTTAAGTGATACAACTATTGCCATATCCGAAACGGTAAGAGCTGCAAGGTCGGTTAAATTAGAAAAAAGTTGCATTCAAGACTTGTTTACAGTGTTGCCAAATTCCTTTTAGTTTATGAAATACAGGGTTTTTTATGAAAAACGCCTAAAATTATTTCATCAATTAATTCGAAAACTATTGATATTCGAGACACAATTTAAATTTGAAAGTTTTATAATTTTTTTTGCTTTACAACATGGCATCTTCAAATTTTAAATCCGACGTTTCTTCATCGAGCTATCATCATCAACTTTATTTTTTTTAAATACGGACCTAGATTTTTTATATTATTTTTGGAAAGGGAATGAAGGGCGCTTCCTAAAAACGACATAAAAAATCCAGGTCCGTATTTAAAAAAATGAAGTTGATGATGGTAGCTCGATCACGGAACGTCGGATTTAAAATTTAAGGATTCCATGTTGTAGAGCGAAAAAAATTATAAAAGTTTCAAATGTAAATTGTGTCTCGAAAATCAATAGTTTTCGAAATAATTGATGAAATATTTTTGGGCGTTTCTTATAAACTAAAAGGAATTTGGCAACACTGTAAACGAGTCTTGCATGTGCATCAAAAAAGGAAACTTTTTTCTAATTTAACCCACCCTGTAGCTCT